TACTATTATACTATTAATTTATACTATTATCAGGATAGGGCTGGTTGAGTATTTGTAAATAATTCTCTAACTTAACTTTACGAGTTTCAATTTTCTGAAGCTGCCGGTTAAGCTTACGTTTCAACACTTTCTTATCGATCTAAAAAAAGTAACAGTCCATATTATATAATATAAAAAGTAATGAAGTAAAAAATCATAGTTTTGTTTTTCAGTCATAGTCCAAATGGGAAGAAGTGTCACGATAATAAAATCAAACGTTAAAAATATTACAACATGTTTTCCAAAGGGTTTCACATTCATTAAAATAAAAAAAGGATTTTTATAAAATTATGCTTGTTAACAATACGCTCAACTAATTTCTATTAATTAAAAATAAACTATTATTTTCTAAACTATGAGAATATGTTTCTGCCCAAACGATTGCAATAGTAAAAAATACAAAATGTTATCTGCTAAGTTTACGTATGCTTTCCATTTACAGAAAACTGTGTTACACAATACTGCCTGATAATTGGTTCTTGCTGTCATAGTTCAGATATGTTTTACTGTGTCGACTTGTGTCGTAATTGGAAAGCAATGATTAGTTCACCCTTATGAAAAAATACACTCAATCATACGTTGACGGTCCGAAATAACCATCAAATTGAGTGTAAACCTTCATAATCGAGTGTTTCATGAAGGTTTACACTCAATTTGATGGTTATTTCGGACCGTCAACGTTCATAAGGGCATACACTTGGATTCGGCGGGAAATTAACAGCAAGAACCAACCATCAGGCAATTCATCCGTGACGTAGTGTCACCTAAAAGGAAAATTAATTATACCAGCAGTACTAGGTTGATGGCAGAGAACAATCCGTAAACGCTTAAGACTGTCTCAGTCGTAGACGTAGGGCAAGGCAGAGAGAAATGCAAGTCGTGAAAGGCTATTGTATACGACTTACGTTTCTCTCTGCCTTGCCCTACATCTACGACTGAGACGGTCTTAAGCGTTTACAGATTGTTCTCTGCCATCAGCCTTACGATGTTACTTCTTCTAGGTTAAGTTAAGTTAGGTTAGATTAGGTTACGCTTAAGTTAACTGGAAAAGGCAACATTTTTCTCAAGTATGAATAATACTTACCGGGCGTTCCGTAGACATGGTCAACGATAATACAGAAATTATGTCCAAGTGTCGAGCACAAAACACGAATATTATAGTCAACAGTGATCCTGTGCGATCCTGTACTGATCACGGCCGTTTTGTCTTTTGTCCGTTAAAGCAGCGCGCACGCAGAGCAGAGATGCAAACTTTGGGCCCGAGCACCATCAAAGTGTTACACTCGGTGCTCACGCATACAAGCGCAACCATATCCGGGTGCTGCGCAGAGTGCTCTGCAGCGCAGCACCCGGACATGGTTGCGCTTGTATGCGTGAGCACCGAGTGTAAAGGCCCGTCTACATAGGACGCAATACGCAAAACGCGGACGCAGACGCGCATGCAGGATGACGTTTCACGCAACGTACACGCATTCGCAAATCAGTCATACGCGACTAGTTGAACCAACTTTATCTTTTGGTTCAACTAGTCGTGTATGACTGATTTGCGAATGCGTGTACGTTGCGTGAAACGTCATCCTGCATGCGCGTCTGCGTCCGCGTTTTGCGTATTGCGTCCTATGTAGACGGGCCTTTATAGTATCTCGCGCGTCGTTCCACCTCCCGCTCGTCGATCGATTTTCTTAAATGCCTTCCGAGTCCGGCCTACTGTATTCTGCATCCTCATTCGCTCAGACGTGTAAATTAATTACTCGATAACTATTGTTACTTTTGTACCGCGGCACATGATATTTCTCCTTAGTTTAACCCAATCTACCACTATTTTCAAGTTGGCTACTTTTGCATCAAACACCCTGTATATGTATGTTCAACCAATCTGTAATAAACCGGCAAGAACGTTACACGTGCTCGAGTCTTATCCTTCTCCCCGGCATTACAACCACCGTCTGACAACAGGAACGGTAAAACCAAGTATATTAATTAATTGAACTATTGACATTAATGATACAAATATCATAACTAATGAAATTTTGTTTAAGTCGAAATAAATCGTTCGATCGTTCCAGTGTCAACAAACCCAGAGTTTCCAAGATCATTAAATAACAATTGTTCATAAATCTGTAATTACGTAATTGTTAAACGTTTGAAAAAAAATCGTAGCATTCGATCGTTCCAGTGTCAACAAACCCAGAGTTTCCAAGATCATTAAATAACAATTGTTCATAAATCTGTAATTACGTAATTGTTAAACGTTTGAGAAAAAATCGTAGCACCGATGACTAATACGAAGTACTTATGCATCATCTCCGCTTCAACTTTTTGTAAACAGCTTTGCCGAAGTCGGGGAAGTACAGAAAGAAGATAATATAAGAATATCGTAGGAAGTGAACAAAAATCACATTTACGTTTCGCTTCTCAGTCAGTCTGTATACGTCAGAGCACATGTTAGAATTTACGTACTTTACGGAAAGCGCCTGTTATAAACGGTGCTTTGGGAGAGAATCTTTTATCCGAGGAAATTCCCGGATTAACCATACCTCAGAAACTGTACGGGATTTTACAGTTCCTTCGTAATAAACGTGTTGAGATGAGGTAATAAAAAGTTTGGGATACGAAGATAACCGGGTTTGCAAACGATTACCCTAAAATTCTTGCGGTATAGTCGCAACTGTCTTACTCTTTCTGGAAATTTTAAGAAATTTAATTATATGTATGTAAGAATTATAAGTTATTTGTGGATTTCCTTCTTGTTATAAAAAGACGTTTTGACGATTTCAAAATATTTAACTGTCGGACAATATAACAAAACTAATTAGAACAAATTGAAGATGCCTATTACTTTTGATATGTGACATTCTGTTAATTTGAAATTTATTAACGCAACGTCACGAAATTATTTTGCCAATTACATTTAAAAATCGAGGACATCAATTTTATTGATTTATTTATGAAGAACAAACAGCAGTAAAATGTGTAAATAAATCACGGACGAAGCGACGTACCGATTAATTTATATTGCGCTGGTAATAAGCTTTGTCGAAAAGCTTTAATCATTTATATAAAAACTTATCGCGTACACCTAAAGCCAGTCCGAAATATTATCTATATAGATATAATAGAATTATTGTCCATATTCATAGATGAAAACATGCTTATTAAAACGTTTTTAACCAGCTAAGTTGAGAACAATGTTATAATATGTTGCAACAGCGTGTTTGCAAAACTACAAGCGCAAATGTGTATCTTTCTTCCTTCAGGGATGAATACTTCTGTGCATAAATGTTGCGAGAATTGACGTAAGCACCGGCACTATTAAAATTCGTAAGCATCCTTACAGCCTGTTGCACCAATTTATTCAACAATAGATCATTTATAAACAATTCCGCTCTCCAAAAGATCAGGTGCCTTCTTTCGCTGGATATAAATTCAATGAAAAGAACTTATAAGACAGTAGCGTCGGCACGACGCCATAAACAATAGCGGTACAAGATAAGAAGAAGTTACTAGTGTTCTTCCGGGCTCCCTCCTATCGTCAACATTATCCCCACTATCTCTTTTCTACTAGAACTACGTCCTCTATCTCTCTCTCTTTCTCTCTCTTCCTCGAGGTTGTTAGCATAATAACGTCAAGTGCTCAACCACGTTGGTAGTCAATACGCGCTGTCGTTCCGATCGTACCACATTGATCGTATTGAGTCATATTCGTGTCTCTCGTGAAATTGCATAACGAGACCCACGCGCGCATACGCATACACGCGACCGCGATATAAGCGTATGTTATCGGCAAGTTTCCGTTATTACCCTTGTCGGAACTTATCACGCTTATCATCTTCGTGAATACGAATCTCTTCGCGACATTCCAACGGGCAGCGATCAGACGAGGATCAGGCAAGAATCGCGTTAGAGGTAGCATCCAAGCATAGCCGACACTTCCGATAGAAACAATCGTCGCGACGCTCGATAACTCGAGCGTCTCTCAAAAGCTACTCTCTCACCCCGTAATCGAGAGCCTCGCGAGTATCCAGTGACATACTTCTAACACGAATCATTGTTGAACTTGGCATTCTCAATACGCAGACGAACCTCGATCACGGAAGGGAATTCGAAGAAACCGTGGATTCGAGATGACGACCAATATCACATCTATGGTGCTGGACTATCTGGTGTTTATCGGGTTTATCGTGGTTTCGTTCGTGATACCGCTATGGGGGAACTTCAAAACGAAAAAAAAGGAGACGAAGGCGAATTATGTGTTTGCCACCGGCAGCGTGTCGATGGGTGCGATGATGCTATCAATCGCACGTGGAACTCTCGGCGTCAGGTCCTTCCTGGGCTACCCTTCGGAGCTGTATTATCGAGGTAGCGCTATGTGGGAGACTCTGTATGGAATGCTGCTAGCATATCCCATCGTCTGTTTCATCTTCGTACCCGTTTACTACAACCTCGGTATCACGTCGGTCTACCAATATTTGGACCTGAGGTAATTTTATAATTCTTCTACCTTTCACCGCAAAATGATTGGCATGCGATATTATTCTTTCAACTTCATATAAGAATATATCTATCGATGTTTAGGCGTAAATTGTATTAACGATATAGTATTAGTAATAAATGAAACAAAGTTAAATTAATATGCACCGAATACGTGAAACTATCAAATTTGAATATAATATTGATATCCTATTGATAACAAAATAATACTGAGCTCAATCTGGAAACGGGAATTTTCTATTGACACGTGCTTATACAAGAATTTAATCGAACAATATCGATTGTATCATAAAAATGTATCGTTTTGCGTTTATCTGATACATGCAATGCACTAGATAAAATAAACACAAGACACAGTAAATTTAACCTTCTGTTAATGCAAAATTTGTCATTTTTCCTCCAATATGCAGGGTACCCATTGTTCATTTCCGTGCACGGCACTGTAAAAACGGAGGGGGAAACCGCTGAGGGCATTGTGGTGTACAGATTTGCGGCATTACTGGGCATTACTAGGCATTTTTTGACATTAGTTTGGGCATTAGGCCTTGCTGGGGCACTATAAAGATAAAGTACGATAAAATAAGATAAAATATATAATAAGATAAAGTTAGGCCCACTGGGTATTAATGAGCACTGGTGTACAAGATTTTGGTCGGCGGTTTCCCCCTCGGTAAAGCCTAACAGCAATGTTATAACACTAAACTTTGAATTTTTTAAAATTGTATTTTGAATCTCTAAATCTCCGATGACAAAAATCTTGATTTGTTCCGAACCGAAAAAATTTGTTGTGTTTAACATTGCACGGGCATCCCATTTTATGAGTAGCGGTAACAGGCATATGTACGCTACTGGTTTTTGTAAATAGAGTATTCTTTTGTGTTGTATTTTATTAGTTCATGATATTTGCAAAAAGTATTATTATCAACACAGAAAAGTTATCGCGGGTACAATTTTCAATAAAAAAACCATGTTTGCATACGTTAGTCATAAAAAATAATTTTTTTAAATATCGATAGAAAAAAATTTGTATATTATTTACCGCCAGAATTATCTTTTAGATATTTTAAATTGCATCGCAAAAGAAAAAGGGAAATATTAAAAATTGTTATTACAACATCAATTCTTCACAGATAATAAATATTCAAATATAAAAAATTGTTCTTGATATTTGCGAGTATATTATGTTTTCGCAATAAAAAGCTGTAACACTAAATAAGGCACTTTAGTGAAGTGGCTTTTATTTATTTAAACTGTAAAATTTTCAAACACACGCACACGCATTGTTTCAACGTGTTTTGAATATTTTGCAAGAAATCAATAGTGAATATCTGGATACCCGATACATAGCGCAACATTCAACTTTATAAGGATCCCGTTAAAAATGAAAAGAGATCACGCCTCTGTTAATCGTTGTTGCTCGAAAGGGATCTGAGGTGCCGTAATAAAATTTGCACAAGGACACAAAACTTTGTAACATTTAATTCGACATGAGAGAACACCTGGGTGCCCGTGCATTGAGAGGAGATTATTTCTAGAAGAAGTAATTGTCTCTGCATGTCATATTGTTAATATTTAATAAAGGACTTTGAACCTAAATAATTTATATTTCGACGCGAAGAATGTTGTACACATATAACGATCATGTATTATTTAATTAATAGTAGATAATAGAAGATAATTCACCACGTCGGACCTTTCAACTCTCTTAATTATGTAAATTCCCCAGATTCAAGTCAAAACTAGTCAGATGTCTGGCGAGTTTCTCTTACGTCGTGCGGAGTCTCCTGAACTTGGCGGTCACGGTATTCACCCCTTGCGTCGCGCTGAAAGCGGTAATAGGGCTTCCGTACTGGGCTAGTATCGTGGGAATAACGACTATTTCCGTGGCTTTCACGATCATAGTAAGAACATATATATTATACCATATACTTGTGTGTTTCACAAATATCTATGCTTACTCATCGAACAAAATGTCTAAATACATATTTTCTCTCTCAGTGTCCTTGCTCGATATTTCGTTTAAAAATTAAAATTGAATAATCGCAGCATTGAGATTTCATGCAAAGAGCGTAGATTGAAATCATAACATATGCAAAATACAACGCAATGCAATCACATATTTATACAAAAGTATCTTTTATATTTATTCATAAAAAGATAATAGCAAACATAAACTATATCTTCTGTAACAGCATACTAAATGGTATATTAGCAAATGCCACTGCATTCTGTAATCAGTACCCATTTATTTAAAATTGAAATTATATCAATTTCAGTCTCTGCGAAAAAGTAAATTATTTGTGACGGTTCTCGTGGAAGCAATATTTTCGAAAAGTTCAATATTTCGGATTTAAATGAATAGTAAAATTACGACATAATTTCGATAAACGTGAGCTTTTCGCGCAAATTACATTCCAGCGGCAAATTACTTATATTCGTCCCGTAGGAAATTGGAGCAATCAAGCACGCATATAAATAGGGCGCATTGAAGGGCGAATAATGACAGCAAGCAGCGTTATTATGAAAAATAATGAAAACCGTACAACTTTTAATATTAAGCTTGGAAATAATGGGATATCAATGTGACGCGGTATATTATATTTGTTACGTACATTTTTTATAAAAATAAACTTTTCCATGTAAAGATCATTTATCAATCTTTAAAATTTCTAAAAACTGAACATTAATTTGATCAACGTGATTATAATTTAATAACTCATTTCTAGTCACTTGTCTAATAATAACAATAAAATGTTGTGTTACTTCACGAATATTTAATATTTATGAATGTTCGCTTTTTAAAGGGAGGTTTAAAAGCTGCTATTCTGTCGGATGTTATACAAGGCCTGGCGATGATTGGTGTATCTATGGTTATCATCATCCAGGGAACTATCAATGTTGGCGGCCCGGCTAACGTCTTCAACGTAACTCACGAGCGTGGACGACTGGATTTTTTCAAGTATGTCACACGCACACTAATAATTCACCAACCCTAAATGCACATAATTTTGAATTCGATAAAAATTTACGCTTGAAATAAATCATGTACGGAATTCCTATTGCGTAATTTTCCATTTCGTTTCTGAACTTTAGAATTAATCCCGGCAAAAATATACAATTCCAACTAACTGTCAGTAAATTGAATAATGTTAAAATGCGATTTTATATTAAAATTCTTCGCTACACATTTCATAATTTAAAATTATTAAATTCCACAGCGGCGCAAAATTATTTCACGGGCTGTGCATTTTCTGCATCTTTGAAATTTTGGGAAGACAATAAAACATTCGTTCTTTTTTCAAATCGTGAAAGAATTTAAATAATTAAGTACTTTTCTTTAAAAGACGTTTTACAATATTATTATTTAATATTCTGGAACTGTACAAGCGTATTTTACGATAAAATCGCGGTACTCATCCAGTAACGTTTCTTTCAGCTTTGATATGGATCCGACTCTTCGAGTAACAACAACGTCGGCGACACTAGGTCAGCTCTTCATGAGTTTATCCATTTTCGGATGTCAGCAGAATTTTGTTCAGAGATATTGCAGTATGTCCAGCCAAAGAAAGGTTGTCAAGTAAGTGAACTTTTTATCTCGACGAAACTTTGAACAAATTCCCTATCCGTGCTTTTAGCGTACAACGGTAAACGACACATTTGTATGACACATGATGCTATATAACTCGTCGAATGATCCAAAGGATAATGTGATTTATGCAAAGTGCTCCACGAATTATTACTTTAAACATTCAAGGCATAAATGAAAATTGAGTATAAACGTGTATATGTAATGTATGAAGCTTTGATCAAACGGAAAGAAAGATTCAATGGGAAACCTTTAATTTTCACAATTTTAAATATGAAGTGATAAAATTTTAATATTTAACTAATAATTAGATAGGCAGATCGTATAGAAACTATAATATAAAATTCTATTAACAAACGAGCGAGATTTCTTAAGATGCTAAACTCAATGTTTCGTTTCAACATTCGTAATTTGCTTATTTATTGTCATATAAAACATTGTTATTAATAATAATTTATGCATTGGCAATCATACGTAAACTTTTATGTACATGACATAATAAAAGTTCAATTTCATTAAAATTTTATTAAAATTAATTTAAAAGTAAGAAAAATATCATACGTTACTATATTAGATTGAAATTTAATATTTGAACCTTTACTAACATAATAAATATGCATTTTTTATTTCTAACGAAAAACCTAAATATATCGATAAAATTACATAATATTCTAGAAAGTGTCTTTCTTTGTAACAATGATATGTTATTTAACGTATCTAGTATGTTATTACTTAATAATTTTTTTACTTTGAAATAATATATAGATTTTAAATATTTGTTTACAATACTTAGATATATTAATATTAAATACTAATGCAACTTTTGTCCTTTTAGTAAACGAAATTTTCTTTTGCGTGTCGGCATGCATTTCAGTCACATCTGTTATTGTATACGCACTCACTCGTGACTTGAGTTTGTCCGATGATTCATTATTACGCGCAAATTAAATTATGATTCACGTTAAGTCATGTAAATAACTTTTATCTGTAAATAGTTTCGATTTGCAAATTAAAATAATGCGAGAAGAAAAGAGGAATAAACTATATAAAAAAATATTACAATTACAACAAATATAAATTGTAAATATAAATATATATATAACATTATAAATGATTATGGATTCATATCTTACGATTAAGGAATAAATCCAAAAAATATTGTAGTAGGATAATAGCTGTGCCACATTTGTTCCCATATCAAGTTTATAAAACTTAATCGATAAGTGAACTTAATCAATGTAATTTATCACACATAGGTACTTTAATCAATTTTTTAATTACAACTAAAATCTAATAAAAATAAAATACTGCTTTAATATCAGTCGGATATTTCATGACATTTGTTCCAAGTCTCAATGTAATTTCGTGACTTCCATTAAAGTGCTCGCTTGGTCAGAAATAAAATAATTTCAAATAAACTTTGATGAAAGTATTAACTAATGTGATTCGCAAGTTTTAATTTAATAAAACTTGAAATTTTCAAAAAAGAAACCATATCGAAAATTAAAAAAATTTTTGTTTAATTTTGAAACATGTCTTTTTTCGCAAAATGTCACATCACTGTCACGATATACGAGCACATTCCCCATCATAAAGTTAAATTCAGAAATTTCCGTTCACGGAAATTGTGTTACATTTAGAAAAACATTTCTTTTTGCCGAATTTTATTTCTAATGTTTTATTATTCGAGACTTATTTCGCTTGTAGCATACAAATGCAGCTGTTTGCACAATTGTAGCAGCTCGCACGCTCGCACAATTGTGCCACTAACCGTGGCGAAACATTGAGGTGCATATACGGTAGTCAACGTAAAACCGTACATTTTTCTAGTCCGATGTCTGATGGCAATTGAAAGCGTATAAAAGCCTATGGCCACAAATTTGCTGCGGTGTCACTGCACTCAAATTGAAACATCACGTGGAATATAAACGCATTACGTTGGTCCATAAAATTTTATTACTCGCAAATAGAGAAATCTAAGCGGATATTTCTGTGATAAAAATAAAATTTTATATTTAATTCAATGACGGGCTTGTGAAGTTCTCGACATCTCAATAAAAATTTATCTTTAAAGATTCTACAAAATTTTACCGCTATTCAAAGTGTCCTCTTATTCTTTCCGAAATATGGCATATAAAACTTTATTTGAAATCAGTTTGGAATAATGCACTTACCTATTTCTATTCTCTTGACAAGACTTTGTTATAAAAACGCCTGTTTTTAAATAACCACCTATAAGTGACAATAGTCATTATATAATATGTTATACATATCTAAGAATATTGAAAATATAAAAAGATACTTTTCATATAATCGTCGTGCATGAATATGGATTATTTATATTTCCTAGCGTTACTGTTCTTGCATTAATTTAAGTTAGTATGTAGGAAGCTATAATATGAATTTCTCAACGTGTGACGACAAGTTAATAGATTTTACATCGATAATTTCCCGTGCCGTCGTATCGGCGGCAGAAAGTTTTTGGGAAGTGGCGCGATTGGACCGATTTAGGAAATTGTGCCCACAGAGTTACTATTACCACATAATCAATGAGAGCCCCGTAGGGAGCCGAATGGCGCCGCGCCAAACTTTCAGTAGAGAGATTCTCGCTATTCAATAAGAGTCTATAATGTCGGTGCGACAGACGTCGACGTACATTAGAATAAAGTCCCCTCTGTATATAGGTTTATTAAAATAATTGGGTAAATATCTCGCCGAGCATGAGAAAGCAAAACTATTCAGAATGATGAAGAATTAAAACCGCTTAAAAACCGTCTACATCGTTTGTTATTGTAGACTACTACAAGATAGCCAGCGACATTATAAAATTATAATGAATGACTACGTCGTCAGTGTCGGCTGGCTAAAAATTTATGTTGTTAAGGGATTTACCCGTGCTAATGTATATTAATGTTACGCATTATGCAACGTAAGCGGTTATACTCGATATTCTTTCAGACTTCCTTGACGGGTATTTTAATTAACGTCAAGATATATACATTGATTTAATTGCCATGGCTGTACATTAATGCAAATTACAAATAGCTGCTATACATCTATCTGAATCGTTCTCGGTTTTATAATTGACAATTCAATCACTTTTGTTATTTCATTTTGCTTGTGTTCTTTTTTATCGTATTTTTTTTATCTTTTTCTTGTTTAAAATTACAATGTCATTTAAATGGGCTCTATTTTCCCCCATTATCTCGAAAAATCCAAAGAGCGATTATAAGAACGTTATATAATTATCATCTGCACTCGCGCCCGTTTGCTTCGCTGTCCTTTCATCAATTGTTCATTACTTTCCGCTTTCATTCTTGCTTACGTAACAAGTACTTCCAATGTGGGTGACACTGTCGTGCGCTATTCCAGATAAGTTTTATAGAATAATATGAATATTATCTGCATATAAATGCATACATTATCCTTATATGTTTGCGTTAAAACCGTTTTAAGCAATGCATTTTGACGCGTGTCTAAAATGTGTATATAAAACTTATTGCAAAGCTGCATATTTTGTAGGAATGCGATAATTAACGACTGGAAAAAAATAGTTCTTTGGATAAAATCCAATCTCGTGCCAAGTTGAAATTATGTGAAACAATTTAAAACGTTTACAATAAGTAATTATATAATAAAACAATAAGCGTTAAATAGCAATACGCAAATGCAAATATACATTAACTATTTTATAATATTCTACAGCCGATGAATACAATACGTACATTATATTCAAACAAAATCCATTGGATTTCTGTCGAACATTTAGTTTACCGAATTATCGTAACAGAACATCACTCGGCTAATATTTTATTGTCATAAGTCGTTGTTAAATTGTCGGTCAATTACATCAAGTATTATTGTGGTTAAACCAACACGAAATTCATCACATTATTGTAACGAGATTACAACGCGAGCACAAAAATCTGTCGGGCATACGCTAAAAGGAAGAAAAAGACTTTGTTAAACAGCTTGCAAAGCAAGTATGAACGCGAATAACAATTAAATATAATGATATTAATTTTTTCAAGAATTATGCGTTTATACAATAACACAAGTGACCCTCGTACTTTTTGTCATTGTCGTGTCAATCTTTTTGGCATTGTCGTGTCTATCTTTCGTAAATAAGAATGAATTTCTTATATAAGATAGTTAAATATTTCGGCATCGAATTTTTGTAACCAAAGATTTGTTTGTTTTCAGGACGATGATGGCCAACATGCCTATAATTATTATCTTGTTCTCACTGTCTTGGATCGTTGGAATGGTGATTTTTGCCAATTACGCCGACTGCGATCCACTCAATATGGGATACATTTCGAAAATCGACGAGATTGTGCCGTTCTACGTTGAAGACAAATTCTCCAGTGTGCCCGGAATGTTAGGTCTGGTCATGGCAACTCTCTTCAACAGCGCCTTGACTTTGGCGGTGTCGAATCTCAATTCTCTCGCAACGGTGACTTTCGAAGATTTCTTTAGTCACATACCTGCGTTGAGTGATCTGAAAGACACGCAGCAGCTCCACGCGATTAAAATAATCGGCGTTATCTACGGTTTAATGATAATCGGCATTAGCTTCTTGGTAGCAATGTTATCTGGCGTAATAGAATCTTCTATGCTGATGACATCGGCGACGTCTGGACCTCTCCTCGGTGTATTCCTCCTCGCTATGTTGATACCTTGTGCCAATTGGAAAGGTGCCGCCGCTGGTATGATTTTCAGCCACGCAACAACGATATGGATCACCTTCGGTCATCTCAGTCTGGGAAACGTGAAAGAGATGTTACCTCTGTCGACGGAAAGTTGCCACAACGAGACGTTTTCCTCGTGGGTTACCAAACCGATTAGCCTAGAGTCCTACTCTTCACCGAACGTCTCCAGCTGGACGACAATGCAGAAAAACCTCACGCTATCGTCCGTCGACGAGAGCAATAAATCATCTAATCCTATAAACGTTCTTTATGGAATAACCTACATGTATTACGCACTTATTGGAAGCATAACGACGGTCGGCGTTGGCATCATCGTGAGTTTAATTACGGCCGATGCCGAGGCCGACAAGTACGAAGAGCACTTGCTGCATCCTTTAGCGCGAAAGATAGCGGGATTCTTTCCCGGGAAGCGGAGGCTCTACGCTAGCAACGCTCGCCTTGGGGATAAAAATGACACGGACATCACGAGTGCCACCGTTTCCTCGGTGATATCTATTCCCGACAGTCTCGAGAAGGAAACTTCTCCTCAAAGATGTGTCGATGATAGGGGAAAGCAACAGCTAAGTGATGGCTACGTGGAGAAGCTCAACGCGCTAAAGAACGCGTCCCTCGATGTAACCAATGAGATCAGCAAGCACACTAGATTATAGTATTATGATACAAGGTCGCAAATGTTCTTCGTGCGTTATTCGCCGTATCACCGTTAGATCGAAACTCGACACTTGTGAGAACAGGGACATACTGTGATGTACGCGACATGCGAACGTTTATGTATATGTTAGTGCCAAATTTTATTACCCGAACATGGAACGCGGGTTTGTGACCTGTGCGCGTGAAACGTAATTACGCGTGAGCAAAGTTTCTCTCGATTACAGTACTCGAGCTACACTCACATTTAGCTCAAAATATCACTCAAATGAAGGCAATTCAGGGATGCAATTCGCGAAAACTTCTAACTTGCGTGTGCCAATTAGAGTTAACTACGAGACATGCGTGACGTTATAAACTGTATTTAGACACGAACACGATTTACTGGAGACGATTGTCAAGTACACACGTGTTTGCTGAATGGAATTCACGTCACCGCTCGCAATGAATGATTTCTGTATCTAAGCGAAGAGAACAGAAATAGAATTCAGTACAATTACTAATAGCAACTGGTGAAAAAGAGTCACGTTTACAATAATCGAAAACGCGGATACAGTTCTGTAAAATTTTATTACAGATCACGAAAACTTAATTATCAAGCCACTAGTTGATAAAGTAATTTTCTCGTTTTTGTTGCTGCACGATGTTTCGATTTTATAGTCGGAATATTCAAGTGTATTCTTGCTACGCTTCTTCTCCAATTATTTAATATATTCGATAGAATTCTCCTTCTTTCCTCAAGAAGGATTAATTTATTGAATCTTATTTACCCATTTTAAATGTATGTTTTAACAAATATATGTTTTAAAAGTATTTCCATAAAGAAAAGTGAAATTGATATAAATAAAACAAAAATAAGATAGCCAATACGAGTAAGATATAGGTAGCTCGTATTCTTTTAAGTTGTGTTACTTTTATTTTGTGACTATATTAAGAATCATTTTCTCTTGCATTAAAATAACAAAAATAAATTTTCATCGATTCTCTAAGAAAGTTACATACAGAAGCAGTGTAGTTTGATTACAAACAGAAATATAGCAGCATCTTATAACTATGAAATAAAACGTATGAGATTCAATGATTGTAATCGATTCTCTATAGTAATATTACATGCTCATATTATAAAGATATTTGATTGCGAAATAGCAGTCGTAAGCGAGGGTTCCTCTAATAACAATATTTAGATCTTAAAAGGGTTTCGAACTTTCCATAGCAATAAGTAATATTATTTTCTTGCAGAGAGTTGAACGTATCTGATGTGTGTATGTACGTAATTTGCGTGTATATTATTTTTAAATATATCTAACACCAAACTTTGATATTAAAATCTATTTTTGTACTTCAGAAAACGTGAATTATTTATATATACATATATATATATATATATATATATATAAGTACAAAATCTTGTGCTCTTCGAATATAACAATGAAAATGATGCCAAACCAGCGAATATAATCGCTGATTTTATTTGTACCATTCTACCTATGTATTTATTATCTCAATAATATAACTCATTCATTTTTATTCGTTTTACAGTTGTTTGCAATCCTCAAAGTAACCTCTTTTTCGTACAAACACTAATTTTAAACGATATATTTTCGACACAGTATATATAGTAAGAACTAGTTTAATTTTGTTTAACCAGCGTATTCGAGTTAATACCTAATCAGTAAAGCCATTGCATATCTGCGCGACGGTAATTCGACAACTGTTCGATAACTACCGATATAATTAAATATTTTGCGTATAAATGTTATTTTTAGTTATCCATTCGCGTGAAATAGATATAATTTTCTCCACGAATCGTCCGTCTTACTTTCTTTTAAACAATTTAATTTAAATAAACGCGATAGGCATAAATCAATGAAATAAAGAAAATTACGGAGAAGAGTGAGACAAGCATAGTTGACAGTGCACAGGTATACCGTCGGTCATCCTACCATCGACATTGCATTTCTTCGGGACTGGAAATTCAAGTTTGAGATGATCCGGTGGCGCAGGCCAGGAACGCTGGCAACGTTGCGGCGATTTAACGGTAGTAGTATCGCCAGTATACATCCCATCCTTGGATGAATAGCTCTTAATGGTGGTAGTGGTGAAGTAGTAGCAAGACGGTTGGTTATATTCGCGAAAACACAGGTTTAGTATTGCGCGCGTTCTCGAGTTGGCCGGTCGCAAATCTTATCGCGGGTAGATGATAATATCGCTGGCACACCCAGCGATAACAATATAAAGTTCCTGCTCTTATCGTGCTCTTCTATTCCTATCTTTCTCCCTCCTCCTCCCCCCTCTCTCCCTCCCTCTCTCTCTCTCTCTCTCCCTTTCTTCGTCCTTTTTCATTCTCTACCTTTCTCTCTCTTTCCCTCTCGCATATATTGTGCATAATATATATATTTTTCTTTCTTTCCCACCTCTAATTATTTTCAGTGCTGTTACAGTGGGGCATCGCCGGATTTCAGGTTTGAAGCGTGCCGCGAGTACAGCTTCGATCCTGCGCTCTTCGCTTTTTCGAGGCGTTCGATCAGGCCGCGAGACCTCCATTTTGACAGTACGTCAGCAAGATCGCGAATAGAATACGTGGAACCGTCGCGCGCCTATTTTCGTCGGTCATCGAAGGGCGTACGGACGTTATACAGTTGTGCAAATAATACGTATACATTGCCGAACGCTACCTCACACGGAGAGCCTTTAGGAGTACGGCGTGGGCGCGGTGCATCATGGCGGTGGAATCGAGGTAAATGTACGGAGAGCCCGCACGACACATGCTCCGATCCGATATGCGCCGGTAGACGCTCTTTGCTAACCGCGAATGATCTTTGAAGGGATTATGATACAGCTCAGTGCACAAGGGCGCGTTCGCTCACGCACATGATCCCGATTCAATTACGATCATCAGACATCATATTAATTTCTTTAAATATAGGTAAGAATACGAGATGCGCTTTGACAAACTTAAAAACAAGAATGTTTGCAATGCGTAAAATTAAATGTCCACGTACAAAAGATTTCTCTCTCTCTCTCTCTCTCTCTCTCTCTCTCTCTCTCTCTCTCTCTCTATATATATATATATATATATATATATATATATATATGCATTCCTATACTATATAAACACAAATTCATTATGCTTTGAAAGGCTTTCTGACAAAATTAGAATTTATATTTTAGTGCCAAATTTCTATTGTAAACATCTCGTATTCCAATCTTCCGCTGTACTTTGAAAACGAGAATAATCATTGTTGCTCGCCGTTACTCTGATCATCATAAATATCAAATACTATATCGAGTATGCAAGTTGTTGCCGTTACGAAATGCACTATAATCAGCAGGCAATTCGTAATTTTGTTGTAAATTGTAGGGTCTTGGTGAATAATTAAGTAGTCTACGTCGAAAACGTGACGTGAACATATTTGCTTGCGGATTCGCGCGAACTCATGAGAAATGCGAATTTCTCTGAGCCAATGCCGGTTCGTTTCGCACTGTTACGCGAGACCCAGTGGTGCCCAACTGTTTTGAAGCTGCAAAGTTTCCGGTGCCATTAGCTCACAGCTTAGAATACGCTCCTGATTGATTGCATATTGTGCATGCACTTGATAGAAGTTAGTTTCATTCATCAGCAGCTGAGATGAATCGATACCAAAGTCCAATATAATACACTTTTCGCGATGTTATTTTTAACTCTTAACTCAAATGCAAGACCTGACGGTGTTTCTTTTAAAACTTATGAGATCTGTATCCGTTGGTTTTATAAAACACGTGTTCGATATTTCCAGCATGAGTAAAACTAATAACAATGTAAAGCAACGTGAATAGGTATATTTTTGTTGGTGGTCCCTTAAATCAACAGTAAGGCGTATTTTCTGCTACATACATTTATTTAAATGTCTGGATTATATTTAAAAACTCTTGTTTGAATATTTTCAAATAATCTTTTAATAAATCTAATTAAAGTAAAGCATGGACACACAAACACACACGTGCGCGCGCGGGTGCGTGCGTATATTTTAACATTTCTAACAATTCAGACCTGTACGCAACGAAATCAAATATCAATAATAATAATATAATGTAGTGATGAAAACGAAATTATGTTTTATATCAAGATATTATGCGCGGCATAAAGTAACAGTCATTGTAACTTTTTGATGTTACTCGTGTCTTTCCTGATTTTCATATTCAAAGTCGTACTTTCGAACGTCAGACGCAAATAGGTAACGAGAAATTATTAGCGCATCGTGCATAAACCGCACGAAGCGGGCCTATGGAAACACCTAATAGCAGCAATGACCGTAGATCTACAAAGACTTCATTATCACCGCGTGATATATACATACACGCGTTCACAAGAGCGGGGAAGCATTATTGTCTGTTGGATCATGTGCGCGATCGATCGACGTTCGATTTACCGCGTATGCGATATCATGTGCACTCTTGAGATTTATTATCTTCCATAGAATTCGATGTTATTGTGCCCGAATTGTGACCAGTCAGCATTGACTGGGTCGATTTCACGAGCGGAAAAGCCTGTTAACGCTAAAACGTGATATACGAATATGGAAAATCTATCCCGGATTAAAACAGAGTCTGCGTTAATTGCTACCGTTGCGAAAGAATATTTCGGGCTTGATAAAGCATTTTCTAATTAAATTGTACATCTTCCGATTGTGATATGGAATCTAGATTGAACCTAATCACGGACTTTAATTAACGGGACACTTCACAATTATAACAATCGTTATAGATAGCATAGGCAGGATAAATATTTCTTATCTCTGGCCTAGATAATTCTGCATCGATGCAGTACAAGATACTTCGAAAGATGTTATCGTTACATGCTCGTAAGAGCTGAATGTTTTCATAGCGACTCGCTGGCACCATTTTTCAGAATTACCTTCGATATTTTCGTGCATTTCATGCAGCGCATTTCCTATAAGTGTGCGTGCACATCTGCTTCTCTAATATTTTCTTTCCTCTTGCATAAAAAGGACCTTTGTGGTATTATGGCAAGAGGTTTATGTGGTCTTTTTATATATAGCCATATTTGTGTAGACTTTCTTACTTGTAGATCTCTAGAGTTCGAACGTTTATACATCAACGAACACATTCTACAATTATATTACCTTTAACTTTTTACTCATCTCCAAATGTTATACACTGAAGCATATTTCCACATAGAATAAAGCCAAGACACGAACATAAAGCATATTTAATTTTTTTTCTTGTTGCGCTGTAAAGTATTATCCACATAAATATTGTTTTAATAACAGCAATTTTCGAATATTCATATCTAAGCAAATTAGCAACAATTACTGCCGTCGGTGAAAACGATGCTATATGTAGATATTGTTAATATAATGCAAATGTATTCCACGTGGAAGGTGCTGTTAGTAATCTTATCTAACAGTTATACGTTGTCCGACTAAAATATTAGTTCTCCAAGTCGCACAGTTAGTAATATCTCTTCAATTCTAAGTATAAAGGCTGAAGATAACGGTATTTATAGTCAATGTTACCGATAAGAATGCTACGTTCTTTACTGATTATTTATATAGCTGCAGCACGATACTCATATGAATTTATCATGTAACAAAATAGCTCGTGTTAGTCAGTTCCGCCGACTAGCATTCGCTTTCTCATAATCTCGAACGAAGTTTAAAATAAAAACGAAAACTAATTGGTTTATCTCAAGCCTAATCGGCTGAAAAATGGCGCAAGTCAGATATTCGGGACTAAGTAAGTATTGTCTAACACTTTGATGATAAACGAAGGCGAATTAGCGGATTGACGTTGCCCTTCCGCGGATCAGTCATTGCCTTGCCATCGCGATCATCGGAAATTTCGAATCCCGGAAGTTTCGAGACGAGGGTATAAAATGTTGCTTCTACCACGGCGCCACTCGATACTGTCTTTCGATGTATCTTGTGTCAGCGAGAGTCTAACACGTAATCGCTAACGTCATCTCTG